ATAATATAAAATATATGTTATATGTATTTATATATAACATATATAAATAATCTGTAGAACCTACTGCCCGTTAGGTTGGTGGTAATGATGAAGGGATATAATAGTGGAACTTAAGGACTCTCAATATGTAGATATGAGAATAGCTGCTAATATTTACACTCTAATTGTGTAATGCACTCACAGCTTTGGACAGTTGACATTTATTTATGTGTCTGTTAATATTCACAACCAACCTATTAGGCAGAAATTGTAATCCTTGATTAACAGGTGAAAACAGGGTCAGAGAAGTTAATAAATATGCCCACACACGGTCAGTGTAGGACTTAATTGTAATGAATATTTGTATGTGAGATTAACTAATGTGACCTTTGTTTACTTATCTCATAGATGAAATGGAGTTGAAAACCATGCAAGGAGTTGTGACAAGTTTTTTTACTGATTATGGCTTGATTAATGAGTCCATCTATTTCAGTACTGATGTTGTGACTCGCAGTATGCCTATAACAGTTGGACAAAAAGTGTCGGCAGTCATCGAAGAAGACAAAATGACTCATGCATTGAAAGCGCTCAGAGTAAGATTTGCATGAATTTGGGGATTGTCTCTTATCCTGATGGGCTTTCACTCTTCCCTCTCTTATATTAATCCAACACCTCTAATGTGACCTGTAGGTGAATGTACCACTTTTGGTACACGACATATCACTTTTCTGATGCTGTAGATTCTTCTATTCTAATATATGTAGTGATTTCTGTTTTAAAATATAAAAATTATCTTCTTGTTTTAGTACTTATACAATGTGATTTAAACTGATAATCATTAGGCTCTATATAATCATATACTTCTTTTCTTCAGGTTAAAAAATATTTTCTTTAGTATGCGTTCATAGCAGTGGAATTACTATGTCAAGCAACGTGCATTTTAAACATCCTATTTTATTTTATGTATATTTTCTCCCTTTTTCTTTTTTAAAAATTGTAATAGGTTTAGGAGTTACAAGGTGAATTTTGTTATATATATATATTCTGTTTTATATATACACACACTATAGTGAAGAAGTCTGGGCTATTACATTTTAAGCATTTAAAAAATTGGTTTATTGAGATATAACTTATATGTCAAAAATTCTCTTAAGAGACAATTCAGGCTCAGCGCCTATGGCTCAAGTGGCTAAGGCGCCAGCCACATACACCTAAGGTGGC